TAATTTAAAATCTTCGGAGATTTTCAGCATAGGAATCTGAAAACAAAAGATATTATCAAATGCTAAATGCGGATTTTCTACCACCTACATTGTAAAAACCAAGCACTAAGTTATACTGGAAAAAACATTACAATTAGAATGAAATTTCACAAAAGCATATGAATTCTGAGTCAAGTATGTTTTAAGCACTGCAAAGCCACACCCTAGGATTTAGACATGTATGGCCTTTTGGAGACCTTGTACCACAATCAGTGTTTTGTATCACTAGAAAACATGTAAACGACGAATGATCCAATTCCACCTTCTTTTAGATACTTACCATTTGCAATAGCAAGACTTTCTTTCCACTGGATAATAAGGTGAAGGAAAGATAAGTGCTTTGCTCTCAGCAGATGTCCTTGAGCGTAGCACCTGAAATTCAATGTACCAAGTGTATATAGTGGTTATCTACAGCGAAATCTGTTGTTTCCTGGAGTGCTGACGAAAAATTTCCATAGAAACCTCGTAACTTGCTACCTTGAACTTGGAAAATGACCATTTGAGGGAACAAAAACAAGTAGACAAAAAACAATAAATTCTTACAGTAGGACACTCAACAAAGAGTTAGACGTGTGCCTGTATGAGTATGAAGATTGGCACCCACTCTAAGCTGAAAAGAAAGCAACTCTTTAAACACTGTTTAAGTTAAGATCTAAACCATTACGAGAGCGATGCAGAGCCATTGTACTAAACACTCACGTAAAGAATATCTGTGGACTTTGTACAAACCAGTTTCTCTGTACTTGAAGGAGCATCTTACGTGGTTCTTCCGAGCTTGGTGTAAGGTCAGTGTGACACAGACCCACCAAGAACATGATGGAGTAAAGCAGGAGAAAGAAGGAACTCCGTGTTTCACAGAAAGGAGATAAACATTTATGAAAAACTGATTTCTGCCATATGACACAGCCTAGAGAAACCATAGGTCACGTTAGCTTTCTGCATCTTCAGTGTAATTCTACAGGTACCCAAATTACTGAATTTATTTTAATAACAGTGAATGTAAAAATAATAATTTCAAAACACTTCTGAGATGCTTGAAAGTATGTGGCAAAGTGTCAAACAAAAAAATTGAGATATTTTTATGTGAATTCCTGTGGTGTAGCACAGGTCAAAGTTATTGAGGGTGTAAATTTTTATGAATAGGTTTGAGTCAATAGGGTATGAGAAATTAATCTTTTTCTAGAGTTCATGTTTACATTCGTTATTTTTCTGTGTCTGTATGTACAGGATGGAGTATGAGTATTTCTATCAATTTAAAACCTTTCTAAAAGGAATAGTATTCCATGTGAAAGAAGCCTTTAACCATCCAGTCTGTAGCAGGGTATTGTCCTTGAGAAAATTTTAAATTTCTTTTAAAGTTATTTCAAGTAATTCGTTGTGACATAATATGTCCATGTCATGGTCCTATTTTGTGTGGAAACACATACACTTTGACCTCAATGCTGGTTTCTTGATAGATGAAACTTACTCTGCCAGTAATTGATGCTTGTTCTTTTCCTCCTTACTGGTAATCTCTGCAGGGGAGGAAAAATGTCAGAATTTCCGTTTCACAGGAAATTCAAACATTTTAACGTAAGGTTTTGTCCCAAACTTCAGCTGAAAAGAAGAATTTCTGAAAAAAAATTTGCTTCTAACTTGAAAAAAAAATGCAGTTAATGTGATGCTTTAGTGCTTCTGCTAGCGGTAGCACAATGCCTCCTAGAAGCAGAAATTTTAATGATTTATCCCATCATTCTTCATGGACTGGATCCTTTGAAGAGACTACTTCTCCTCTTATACTTATACTTACAACTCCTGTGATGCACCAGGGCCTTGTCTGTGTGACTAGATACATCATCTCTGAGACGCTGGACTGCAGATAAGGAAGGTAATATCAAACTGATTGTTTAGGCTCAGTTCTACAAACCAGAACATTGCTTCTCAGATCAAGCCAAACTCAAGTACCTCATTTTTGTTCCTTCTTTTCCTGATGAAAACTCTGTAGCATTTCCACAGAAATGCACGCAACTGGGTAAAAATGTAATTTTCCATTTAAAAAGTCATGTGATTTTAAAAAAAAAAATAATTCCAGCAAGGTCTAATAATGAGTAATGTCTTTGCTGCCTGTTCTACTCCTTCATATATACTCAAAATAAGTCTTGTTACTTTTATACACTAACACTTGCCATTCCCTCCCTGTATGCAATGTTCGTTAATATTGAAGCAGTTCAACTTCCCTTCTCCTACTTCCCCATCTTTCTTCTTCAGTCCTTTAAATGTGCTGTAGCTGATAGAGTGCTATCAAGTAGTTTGTGCTTTTGGATCTCTTTGCAGGGCCTTTTGCATTTTGGTTTGGCAGGGGGGTGGGTAATTTATTTTTGTGTGTGTATGCATGATAAACCATAATTATCCAAATGTTTTTTCCAAAATTTCTTTCATCTCAGATACCTAGGGTGTGTGGGAGAGGGGCAGAAATGGAGGAACATACCCTGGGTAAGCATGTGGTACAACATTTGCTTCAGTCTGGACAAGACCACCCGTGATAAGGGCAAACTTAAGCATGTACTTTCAAATATGGAGAGAAAAAAGTAGACATTTACAAATTATGAAGTACTAATGGAATTTTTGTAGTGTATGGAACATCTCCAAGAGGTTCAGATGAACTACCAGTGAAATAACATCCTCTTTGAAATAGTACATCTGATCAGAATGTAGGGAGGTGTTAGATTTAGTTTTGCAGCAAAGGATACAAGCTCTACTGCAGAAATCAGTGAAAAGAAAGGATGCAAGTAGAGATAAAGATGGTGTGGGAGGGTGTATGTGGTATCAGAAGCATTCGTTCTGGAATTTACCTAACAGAAAAGTCATTGAAATGTAATGCAGTAAGTGTGGTTTTAATACAAAGCAGAGAAACGCTATAAAGGCGGTGTTTCAGACAAGAAGTAAAATGTAGGAAAATACTTCTGCTTATATCCCATTTAATGATTAAGAATTTTTACAGTTTAGGAAGAGGGAAGTTTTAAGTAACATTTATCAAGTCAGTAAGAAGAGCATGTGTGTGGAAAAGAGTCTGCAGAGAAGCTATCAAAGGGGAAGGAAGAAGCTACTTAAAATAAGCAAGTAGAGGAAAAGTAATTAAATGTTAGGACAGATAATGCAAGGAGAAGTAAATGGATGATAGATCCTGGCATTGACAACGTGCAAGTGATATTCCTTGAGCTAGCAAAATGATGTAGAGGTGACCAGAATATACAGAGGCTACAATTTCAAAGATACGCTATAAAAACACCAATACAGAAATGGCATTCAAGTGTTAAGATCAGATGACAGGCATACGTTCCTAGCTGGTTTGTGTATGTGCATGTGCCAGGATGAACAATCACTTCTGTGGGCATGGTTATGAGGGCTGCTTTCTGAACTTTGATTCAATAAATCAAAGTGTGTTCTGTAAATACACAGCACAATCTGCGTATGCTATAAAATATGTGTGCTGGTTGTCCTTTTCTTTTCCTATTTTGGGCTCAGCTCCTCAGTCCAGAAATGCTTTTACTTTTCATTGCTCTTTTAACCTTTGGACGGCATCTTGTGTGTGTTTACAACTTCTGTACAAAAGCTGACTGCAGCTATCTGTTAATTGAGGGGAGCGTTCTCTTTTGTGATCTTGCAATGTTTTTAGATGTGAGGAGGTTTGATTGGAGTTCAGTGATTGCCAAAGCTTCTACCCGAATTATGAAACAAATGTCATGACTGTGAAGATGATCAGCATATGTTTGCTTCAGGAGGTGTACCAGCGAAGAGACCAGTAACATACTGAACATAATAGCAGTTATTCTCAGTTTGGATTTCTTGGATTTCTTTTTTCTTTCTTTTTTTTTTTTTTGGTGGGGAGAGCAGGAGGAAGTTCTCCTTGCATAGAAATTCATAAAGACCAGTGATATGAACAGAAAAGAAATTTTTAAAGGAAAAAAAAAAAAGTAGAGGAAGTGAAAATTTAGTGCAGAAAGTAACAGACAAAATGATGAAGCAGCTTCTAATAAAACTTGCAAATAAATGGTACCACTGGGACACATAAAATACATTTAGTACACAGTTGAGTATTTCAGTGCAATAAACTCAAAGGTACAGTTCAATCTCAGTTTTGGATACTTAGGATCAGTTCATTTTACAGATTTATGAGTCACTCAATTCTTTGTAAAGAAGACAGACTAAGATCCAAAATTTGCAAAGCACATCTTAATTTATAGAATAATGTTCTGACTTTCGAAGTATAATAAAAAGAATTACAGTTCATCCAAAGTGTTAGTATTTATTCACTGCATCTTATGTAAACTACTGCCATCGACAATGACTCTGTATTGCGTCAAGGTTTCTGTAAGGAGACAGATAAAAAGCTTATCTCCTGCATGTATTCTGACTTCACGATTTTCCTGCTCTATTGACTTCTCTGTGTTTGGACCTTTGGTACCGTATGTGAAGCTTTCTTTGACATAGAGGCAGGGGGGGAACTTTTTATCCCAGAAACATGGTGAACATCAACTCCATCAAAAAGTCTCCGTTACAAAGTGCTACAGGCAGTGGCATAGCCACACTTGTGGCTCATCTAAGTGTTTCTCACTTTTATAGCTATTCAAAGGTTTATTTTCCAGTTGATAATACAGTTTATCTCTGGAGCTCTGCATTGGATAACATATGGACGGTCCGTCAGGCTCTTCTGACAGTGTCGAGTTACTGGTGTTGGCCACATTAATAAGTCAGTGGTGAGGACACTGAAGAAAGAGGTACTGCTGGGTCTAGAAAGCTGAAGTGTATGGATCTGCTGCCTACAAAAAACTTGTAAGAAAAACACTACCCATTTATGAGATCTAGTAACGAATTGAGTGTGGTAGTACTATGCTGCTTTGTTAAATCCTGGGCTACGTACATGCACACACCATATTCTAAGTTTACTCCTTCCTAACCGTGCATTTTCTTTTTTTCACTAGGGCATATTTCAAAACGTTCGTCCCTCAGTTCCAGGAGGCAGCATTTGCTAACGGGAAGCTTTAGGCAGCCTCGGGCACGGAGATGATACTGGACAGATCCTTCAGTCTGCACGTGTCCGCCCACAAGAAGAACACCTGGAAATGCGTTGGACTGTCTTGATAGGTGCTTTCTTGCTTCTGAAATGGTTTTGGTAGCTTCAGTTTTTGTCAGATTTCTGTAACAAAGACCTCACTAGCATGCTTAAAATTGAATATTTGATGCTCGTCCTGTCCCTTTGCCTCTGCCACCACCATTCCTTTATATATCTACTGGATTAAGTTTAAAAGGGCATGTTTTGATGTGATAAAATTTTCTTGTGCCAACAGTGTCCTGTATGTTATGCCTTGTTTCCTTGTCTTCAGATGGTGTAAATCAGGTATCTTTTTTTTTCCCCACTGAAATACGATGTAATTTGTATATTTAGTTAACATTTCCAGCTTATCCTAAGAAAATACAAAACTGCCGTATGTACCAGGAATGAAAAATGCCTAATGGACTGTACAGGGCCATATTCTGCCTTGGAGGTTTGTGTCTCACTGTGGTTGTTACTCTCACAGGTATGGATATGAGTTGCACAGTTCAATTCTCAGTGCCTTTCAAGCTGGTCTGATTTTAATATGTCAGGGTGTTGGAGATTTTTTTTTAATATTTCAGTTGAAAGCTCATCTTATATGAAATGCTCTACTTTTATGCTTAGATTTTATTTCCAATTGTACAATTTTAGTGTTTTTCTAATGAACTTCCCTTGCCATTATGAAAAAGTTCTATTTCTTTAGTACCGATACATAAGGAACTAATTATATAAATCAATATAACAAAATAAAACTCTTTCATAGACCTGTAATTTTTCCAAGTAAGGTAAATACTGGTAAGAAGCAAACTTTCAACAAAGGAATGAATGATGTGTTGGAAAATAACTGATGAAATAATGTAGGGCTATAGGTATTTAGCTTAATGCTTAAGCTCAACATGTCTTCTCAGAAATAATTTTAAGTGTATGTAACTGAAAACATTACCTCCCCTAATTCTGAAATGCCAAATGCAAAATCCCACCTATTCATCCTTTCTTTCACTCTTGTGTCAGGCACACAAGTTGGGGCTAACTGTCACGATGTCACTTCCCAAATTAATTTGTAAATAGACCAGGGTACTTTCCAGTAAGGAATAAAATTAACAGTGTAAGTTGCTTATAAATGGCATATGGAAAATGTGCCCTACTTCTGCTAAATATAAGGAACAAATGAACAGTACGCAGATGATACAGTGGCACTGGAAAACATTGAATTTGAAATTACTCGCTGCAGCACCACTATCTGCTTATGCATTGAAATCTCATCAAATTACTTGATTGGCAGTATTCTCCTACCCTTTCTAAAACTTGTTATTTTACATTAAAAATAGTGCTTTCCAGCGGAATGTCCATCTAGGAAATGCAGATGGGTTTTGAGCAGTGAAGCTTAATAATTAAGAATTATGCAAATAAATCATCCTTAGAAACTACAGGTGTTTTTAGCTAGTTTATGGGCAAAATTTTAGTTTATATTTAATACTGCAGTTCCTGGCTGGAAATTAAACTGCAAATAAAATCAGAAGCCTTAGTGCCCATCTATGGAGGAGGGGGCATGTTCTGTCTTGTGACCCACCCCCTTGAGACTCTCACTGCGTTATCTGAGGGCTGTAAACAACTCCAAAGGTCTGAACCTGAATTCCCTCTGGAGGCATTGCATTAGGCTTTTGCATGCAAACCAAGACTTAACAGCAGATGTGGAGTGTAATGGTTTTATGTGAATAGCAAAACCATAACTGAACAACCTCAAATGACTGGAAAGACACATATTCACGAATAAGCTAACTCTTGCGAATGGGGTGGGAGGAGAAGAATGGCTAATGAAAAACATTTGTTCTCATAGTGTTCAAAATCTGATAGAAATGATCTCTAGCCATCTTCAAAGGGTAAAAACCAAACCCTCAAGTTGCATCAGTAGGGTCCTGGAATCTTACTTTTTATAAACTTGTGTTTGATTCAGTGTTGTAGCGACTGCCTCATGAACACAGTGTTTGCTTTGTATACCTGATTGTCCCAATGGCACCAGTATTTTTTTTTTTTAATCTTTTCAGAAGTTGCCATCATTCAAAGGCTAGCCATTGCAAAACGTTTCAAAAAGAGGTCCGCTCTTCAGAATTAATATGCATTTTCAACCAAAAATGCATCCTTCGCCTCAGTCCTAGTAATTTTGGCCAAAGGACTGCTTTAGTATTAAAGGACTATGAGTTTTAGAAGCCATGGAAGAAAAACTTTGAGGATATAAAAAGCCTAAACCAGCAATTCCTTATGTTGAATTCAGTAGTTTCACCAACTTTTCACTAGCGTATATGGGAATGAACCAGTGGTTTCAGTCTAATTTTACATCATACTACAACTGGTAGTACTTTTGAAGAAAAAAAAAAAAGAAAGAAAAGAAAAAGGTAGAAAAGTTTAGAAACTGAACTGTTTGTGTTTAAGATCAGGTCTGCAAACCTGTCAATCTTTAGGTTAGAAGAAAAGGCATTTTTCTTACACTTATGAATTTATTTCAAAGCCACCATGCACTCTTTGACCTGCAATGTGTTTTATGGAGCCCTTCCTGATAGTTCTCAGAAGAATGTATTGGGGGTGTTAACACTACAAATGGGGTATCGGAAGGAAAGACATGGAAAGGAGTGAAATCTTCTCTCCAGAAGGATGATTAACGTATAAATACTACATCAGAAAAGAGAGTTAGTTTGAATAATTTTATATTGAATCAAGTATTGAAGGCATTTAAGTTAGTCACAAAAGTAATATAATGAATTGGAGTTATTTCTGTTACCTCCTGTTTTATAATAATATCTATTGTGACCAATTTAATGGCAAAGAGACTTTCAGCACTTTCTTTCCTATTATGTTATATATGCAATTGAAAGCAGCAGTCACATCTAGGCTAGTTTCTTTGGTTTATGAGAACCACAAAGCATAGGAGAAAAATAGTGATGTTAGAAACATATTGAAAAGCCTAAATTCTACTCTGTCATAATTTTAATTGAAAGAATTCAGTAAGTCTCTAGTTACTAAGCCCCATTAATGCACAATTTTCCAAAGGTCCTTAAAGTGCAATCTTAGAGTCGAGCCTTTATTCATCTGCATACATAATTCACTGTGCTAGAAGTAATACCAAATCTTTCAGATTCGAAGTTAGACTTTTTGTGAACTTGCTGGAAAGACTGGACAAACAGCTGGAAGAATAAATAAAAATTAACGATATCATACATAGTTTGACCTTCATTGATCTTTCTGTGTGCTGGTCATTGCTTTGTTGATCAGCACATCTCATTTGCTGAATCAGCAGTGTTTATGGTTTCATCGGTGTCCTTGAACATCCTTCTGTTCACCTATAGAGTAGACTTGAGTCAGTTTTTGAGAAGAAATCATTGCTAGAATTAGCATGGATCTCCTACGTGTTGTTAAACACTCCCTAGGCCTGTTTCTCTGTGTGTTTCCTTTCTCTCATCCTGTCTGGTGCTTGCGGCAATAAACATCTTTGGTGAATCAGTCCAGAGACAAGATTTAGCAATGAAGTGCAGTACCTTAAGTCTTACTTCAGGTGGTTTTACACGGAGACTTCTTACCTAGGAAAGAGGGGAATAAGTCTGAGTAGTCTCCATCGAGCAGGGTCCTCTAATACAAGGCTGGGGGGTTTAGCAGAGGTCAAATGCTGTTTAAGTAGTGAGTAGGGACTGCTGCTCTTACATCCTTCTGTGTCAGTACCCTTAACAACCAGGGAAGCAGCAGGCGGTAGAAACCCATAGTAGCATGTGAGGATCACCATTGCAGATTTGAAATATATTTCTAATACCATGTCCATGCAGCAGCGATATGTGGAGATGAAGGGGTCAGTCCTCTGTCAGTGGAAAGGGGAGTTTCTCACCTTTCCAGCTTTGTGAGAAAGGCGTGCTGCAAGGAGGTAACACGCTTTGGACATGGCTTCTGACCATGGCTGTTAATTACAGGGTGCTGTCCCTGCCCTGTGAAGCAAATGAAATCTGCGACCAAACTGACTGCCAGTGAACGCTCTTTCCTTCAATTACTTACATCTCTGTAATTGATGTATTGTAACGCTCATTAAACCTAAAGGTTACACGTACTTCTTCAGTGTTACTGAAAATCCCTTAAGTCATCTCCTTTTCAGTTGTTATTTTCAGGTGTCTGTAACATTCTGGGACAATTTTGTTTCATCTTTACTAGTTACTGCTGTTTTTAGCAAGTTAAGGTTTCTGTTTTAACAAGGCAACAAGGTGTGTGCCAGCATCTTATAGGCCTACATTAAATATTGAATTATTTGCTTTAAAAATAATCAGTAGAAACTGGTTTTTATTTGTTAAGCCAAGTATTGTATTCTCCACAACAGAATAATGCTGAGGAAAGACTCTGCTGTTACCCAGAACAGAGAGGATAATCATACTGATGGCACTGGATACATTTTTTGCACCAGATCTTCATTTCATTTGCATCTTAGCATCAGCAGGGGGAAAGTGTATTCTCCTTTTCTGAAGGAAGCCTGCAGCTAAATAACCCATTGATCGGCTATATCTTTTCCTGTTTGTACTTTGAAACAATGGGGTTTGTCCCTATGGGCAAAGCCAGAAAAGTCTGAACAATGTACATCAACAGTACAGGGGGTTTTTAATATTTTTGTTTACTGATTTCTGTAGATTCAGAGAGTCGTTTCAAACTTGGTGCTGCAGGACAGTAAACAACACAAATATCAGAAACATGCAAGTAATTTTAGCTACGTATGAAATAAAAGAGTAGCAGTCTAAATATTATTCTGCAAGAACTCAAGGGTTCTGCCATATATTTCTAAGCATGTGGCTTGAAAAGGCACGGCATGTAAGTGATTTTAGTGCTGCTTTTCGTATTCTATTCTCTGTCTTAGGTCAAAAGCTCAATTCTTGGTTCCAAGGCACTGCACAAACACCATTTTGTTAAAATGGTAGTTACCAAGCAA